AGAGTTAGAAAACTAAAAAGGAGGATCACATTTGGCATTAGTCAAGCTAAAAGTTGAAGAAAATATTACAACCTAAGTTGTAATATTTAAGGATTCTGTGGGCAAAATATCAAATGATACAAAAGATAGAAGGAATGCACAGAGTCACTGTTCCAAAAAGGATTGATCATCATCATTCAAGCATTTCAAGTGATAGATCGTGAAGCAGAAATACTAAAGAAAACCCAAGATAGACTGAAGGCACTGGAGAAAAATGAGGCTCCAGGGATTGACAGAATACCAATCGAGCTGTCTCAACAAACAGATGCAATGCTAGAAGCACTCACTCATCTTTGCTAAGAACTTCCAAAGACCTTGGCTAGAAGACCTATCAAAGAAAGGTGATCCAAGAGAATACAAAAATTATTGAGCAAGATCATTAGTATTACACACAAGTAATATTTTGCTGAATTCAAAAATGGTTACAGCCATGGAACAGGAGACAACTGCTAGAAATTCAGCCGAGGACATGGAATGAGAGGTATCATTCATTGCTAATGTCGGGTAGATCTTGACTGAAAGCAGAGAATATCAGAAAGAGGTTTACCTCTACTTCACTGTAAGCCTCTTCTAAGTGCACAGATTTCAGCTCTAAAGACAAATGAAAACCAGGCAATCTACCACTGGTGGGCAAACCAGGCTGGCAAACACTCGTTTCAGCCAACAGAATAAAAATGTCAAAACACACGGGCTCTCTCCAACACACTCCCAAGTATTAGCACAGAACATGAACTTTGAACTACAATGAGAATTCCTGACTAAGAATCAGTTTCAAAGGCAAAACAGACCATAGAAACAAAAGAGCACCGATGTCACTAAGCCCTGATTACTCCATGAGGACAGAGAGTGCCATTACACTAAGAATGTGGCAATGAGCACACTGAAAAGTCTTAGGACAAGTTTGAAACGCCTCAGTAGAAAAAGCAACTTCATAAAGTAATATAGCAAAATCATTTCCAGTTTTCTTTCGGGTAGCTGCTCAGATAGTGTGACCGAGGGAGCCATCTTTTCTGGCAGAATGGCCATAGATATGAATTTGGCTATTTGATATAAAAGCCACACTTGCTATTATGAATTAAATGATTTCTCTATATCAATAGCACTTATGATTTGAAAATCATCATTAAACAGTTAAGAAATTAGACTATTACAACCGTTTAAGCCAGTTGTAGCGTTTAATAGTTCCAAAATTGGTGAGATTAGAATTTTGACAGCTTTAAGTCAGTGAATGGCCTTCACTATTGTTTACTGAATAAAATCCTTAATTGATTAATGATCTCAGGGCATATATCGCCATCTAGTGAACAATCACTTCAATTACCACACAAGTCATTCGACAACTGACAATGTTTCCTTCATGGTTTAAAAATCTGCTCGCAAAAGTCCACTCAGAACTGCAATTTTGCTCAATTTCTTTTTATGGTACTGCTTTACACATGCATTGAGAGCACATACAAACACAGATGCTATTTGTACAGATTCACTCTTGAGTATCTATAAATGAAGTTTTGACATTTCTTCTCTGAAAGCATTGTCATCATTTTTAACTACTTCACCCACTGTGATAGGCCCCTGCTTAACCAGTAACCAATTTCTTTATTGCAACGCAATTAAAAATCACTCAAGAGTTTAAAGTGGGAAGGAACACACTTGGAAAAAGATAATATTGATGTCCATTTGACACAACTTTTAGTATTATTACTGTAAACCTGTTTTTAAAGGGACAATTAGTAATTAACTCGGAGGACTTCCCGTCATAATACATTTGATTACAGAAACCATTGGGTCGTCAGAGCCAGGCTTGCATCATTCCAATATGATTGAGCATATGCAAAAAACACAGGGGCGATGGGGCAGGGGGAGCTTCCAAACCTCCGCAGACACTATTAATCCAGAGTCAAATGTAACTGTTTTCTAAAGCGTTTGCTACCACACGCTACTGGGTTTCTTATTCATTTCCATTTGAGCCTTAATCTACCATGAAAAGATCATCAAAACATAATACAGAATTATGTTGGCCATTCTACCTATGACAAAACAACAACAACGGTTTCACGGGGTACAAAGGGATTCCCAAAACTCAGCAAACTGCTTCTCCATTTCCACCTGGCTCCTCGTCCCTCCTTTCAGCATTCAGGAGACACTTGAAATCACAAATGTTTTGTATTTGGTATGAAAAACACCGACAAACCCAAATAATCATCGCTATCAGTCTCACAATCATTTTTCATTGAGGATCTAATTTCTGTTGGTGACTTTGGATCGCCTTATACCACAAGTTCCAGAAGACAACAGTGTAATTAGTGTTGCTCATTAACCTCACAATCTTTCAAGGCCCACTTTCCACAGATGTTTTCATTGGTATTTATTTCCACAAAGAGTAAAGGGAAACATCGAAGCCAAGAAGTCAGATCACATGCTGTTATTTCTAGGTTTGTTTGAAATCCTTCGCTTTCCAGTGGGGAGGAGCAATGCTTTGGGAGAGCAAGGGCTTAACTCCTGGCTTTTATTTATTAAAAATGTTATTGTTATTTTTTATCCAACAGAAAATGAGAAATTGAGTTTAAACTCCCTATTAAAAATCCAGCTAAAAGAAAACATTGCCCTTAAAATATAATGGATTAGGGGAGTGGGGGAGCTCATGGGACAAATTTTGGGCTTATCATTATCAACAGTGCCCTTTTAAGCTCGTGGATTTCTGAGCCGAGGCAGAAAATGTAACAACAGGGATTTCCCAACAGCAAGAGGCACTCTCCAAGGGAGTAAATTGTCAACTATTGCCTCTCGTGAGAAACTTAAGAGTAACCTTGATCCAATCTCAATAGTCAACCCGCGCATTATCACCCAGTTGGGGCATACTGAGTGTATTTCCTAATACAAAAATAAGGTGGTATTCTATGAGAAGCCACTGGAAACACATACGAAAATAAAATTTAAATATTTTTGACGAAAACTTTGCCCAAGAAATGGAAACATCCTTCCCTCACTTTAACCCCTAAAAAACACCCGTGACGTCTCATAAAAAGGCCTATATTTTCGCCTGAGTCTTGAAAAAAGATTGTCTGGGAAGAAGCGATGGACTGCGTGCAAAGCGGAACCACTGCTGAGAAAGACATCGGGAAATGGGGCAGGCCAAGCTAATATAGTTTTCCAAACAACAACAAAAAACCTATCAAGATGACGCAGATTCATATTGAAAACAGCCACTTGCTATACTTCACCTGAGTTTTAACTTTAAAGTGGGGTGTTACTAGCTTCACCACAGGAAGGTTGGGGGGTTGTGACAAAATACTGCATTTGAAAGCTCTGGCATGTTACAGACCAAGTCTGTGGAGTACAGCTGCCAAAAGGAGTAACTGAGCATCCTGACACTGACACCAACTTGAGCTACGCTGTGCGGCAGCAGCCACTAGCCGCATGTGTCTATTGAAATATGCGTTCATAATTTAAAAAACTCACTGCCATCGAGTCATTGCCAATCATAGTGACCCCATAGGACAGAGTAGAACTGCCCCCCGTGAGTTTCTGAGACTGTTAACTCCTTACGGGAGTTGAAAGCCCCGTCATTTTCCTGAATTCAAAATAATTAAATAACATTAAAAACCTCAATTCCTGTGTTGAAGAAAGCTGATGGTACCTGGCTATTAAAGATATAACATCTGGGGTCTTAAAGGCTTGAAGGTAAACAAGTGGCCATCTAGCTCAGTAGCAACAAAGCCCATGTGGAAGAAGCACGCCAGCCTGTGTGATCACACGGTGTCGATGGGATCAGGTATCAGGCATCAAAGAACATGCCAACTCATCAGAAAAGCCTATATATCTTTATAATAACTACTTGCACTAATAACCACCAGCCTGAGGTAGCACAATTCAAAACCACAACTCTGAACTACCAAATGTCTCCTAACTGGCTAACCAGCCAATTCCTGGCCCCCTTTAACTCATTCGACACAGAAGCAGTGAATGCCCCGCTCTTCATGATTTAGCCCCTTCCCTGGCTTCTTTCTCACTGCTGAACAGCCTGACTAAACTGACCTTCCTCCAGTGCGTCACATAACTAATTCCTGTGCATCACTCGAGTCTCATTTCCTCAGAGAAGCCTTCCCTGTCCAATCTAAATGAACCATGGAAACATTCTGTAACCCACCACCTGGTTTTCAATTATCACTACTATCGTATTCTCTTAGTCCATTTCATTTACGTCTTATTTAAAGGCTTCTTAACCAATACTCAGCCCCCACACAGAATGTAAGCCTCGTAACTCAAAAAAAAAAAAATCTCACTGCTATCGTTGACTGTGACTCATAACAACACAATAAGACAGAGTAGAACTGCTCTCTAAGGTTTCTGAGGCAGTCAATCTTTATGGGAGCAGACTACCTCATCTTTCTCTCTCGAAGCTGCTGGTGGATTTGAACCACTGACCCTAGAGTTAACCACCCAATGCTTACCCCACTGTGCCAATAGGGCACCCCATGATAATCAGGACCCTTTTATACTTAGCTGGACAGTATATCCCCCGTGCCTAGAACAATGTCGGGCATATAATAGATGCTCAAGAAACATGTACACAGTGAATGAATGATCACTTAAATGCTTACTAGTCACAAACTTATTCCAACAGAGGGATAATGGAAGCTGTATAACAATATGGCTCTCTCACACTATCACAAAAATAGTTTGAAACATAGTTGTCCCTCAGTATCCACAGGAGTTTGGTTCCACAACCACGTGGATACCAAAATCTGTGGATGCTTCAGTGCCTTATATAAAATGGCATAGCATTTGCAGATAACCTTCGTACCTCTTCGAGTATACTTAGCCTTTCAGCGATGCCTGGTTATTTAATTGCCGCCCCTCTCCCCAGAATATTTTTGATCCAGGGTTGGTTGAACCCACAGATCCAAAGGATCAACGGCATTCATTCTTGTTTTCAAAGCTGTGACTGTTAGGCCATTTACCTCCCTTCCTTTGTATGTCACCAAAGCAGCCAATGGTTTGGCGTAGAATCTGCTGTAGGAAAATCCCAGGCAGCCGTACATACTGTTCGCCGTGAGCTTCAGAGCCTTCTGCCGAATGTCATACTGCAGGTTCCCCAAGGACAAAAGAAAAACAACAATATTTGCAGATAGTTAAGATAGTCTTGCTAGATTTTGAATGAGAGGGAGAAACCCTCATTGTCCCTTAAATAAAGACTTCCAGCCACCTCCGCAGGATACCAAGTAAAGTCTCCAAAGCTCCCAGGATTCAGCAGGCTCTTGCTCAGATACAGCTGTGAAGACATAGCTGCCTTTTGATCGAAGGCATCTTGCTGTTCTTTAATGGTGACCTACCCACAAACTGAAACTTGATCCATGCATTTATTTGCCCATAGCATCAAATAATCAAATCCTAAAAACTGAGACTGTCACTCTGATTTCTCTTAGGGAAAAGATATACCTGAAGAGCAAGGTCTGGGTTTAAGTCTGGAAGTTTCATTAGTTGTTTGACTTGTTTGCGCCGCTCTACCAGTTTCCGGATCTCTCGGGGCAAAATGCCCATTTCCAAGTTGGCATCAGGCAACTCAGGGATCTGTTCTTGTTCACCATCCTGAGGAACATACAAACAGGCAAATCAAATTTTTGCAAAATAAATTTCTAAAACAATGCTCAGTGGGCACCTTTATCCCGGTCATACCTTGAACAGCTCCTGCTGTGGTTGGGTATCACTGAGTTGATTCTGACTCACAGTGATTCAATAGCACAGAGAAGAACTAACTTTGAACCACTGACCTTTGGGGTTAGCAGCCTAGTTCTTAACTGCTATGTCACCATCGCTCCTTTCCAAAAGTTTATTTTTTAATAAAAATAAAGGCCCCGGTGCATAAGTGGTATACAAGGAGCTGAGTGAATTGTAGAAAAGTCAACACTGTCCCCTTCTCTTTTGAGTCTGTTGACCTCTTCCATGTCAACATCTCTCATCCCTGTAGTTATTCATAAACTTCACTGCTGTTCAAAGGGATGCGTTTTCACATATAACGGTATCATCAACAAGATTGGGGAGCAACACATTTGAGGAGATCATTTTTAAATTAAAAACACAAAGAGAAAATCCCTAGGACTTAAAGAGAAACAAAACCAAACCGCTAAGCTCCTACTTTAAATCCCTTACACTGCCAAACAAAATTCCATAGAATTCTAAAACTAGGTACAATCACAGCAATTACTGGAAATGTTTTAGACTAAAAAATTAAAAAAACAGAATACCAAATCAGCAAATTGCCTTTAAGAAGTTGGAGCATATGTTTAAATAGGTCACACCATTTTAAAAAATTAAGATATATATATATACATATCTTAGCATTTATGTAGTACCTTTTATCTATAAATTGCTTTGCAATCAGTAGAAGAATAGCAACATTTCAGAGAAGCAGCCAGCAGTCTCTTACATTAAAATGTACAGCAGGCAAAAGCAGAGAAAGCATTAGAGGATTTTTCGAACGCCCCCATTACTTCTATTAACAGGCTTCAAAGAACAGCCAGGCACATTTCCCCGTTCAAAGGCTCAGAATTAAAAGTGAACCTTTGCCTGTCAAGCCACTGTCATTTGCCAAGCCTGCCTTTACAAAATATAAGCATATCCTGCTTTTCCTAGGTTTGCTTAACACCATTGCACTTTGACGAAAGCCTTCTACATTACAAATTGTTTTCGCTAGCTGAAAGAAATTGGAAGAGAATTTTTGCTTTTACCCCCCCCACCCCAAAAGCAAGGCATAAAAAGCCAAACAGGTGTTCAATGTTTGTTTTGCAGTAAGAGTTAATGAGGACCGAGCGTGTGTGCACCCTGAACAGCGACCATGGCGTTGCCAAGCTCCCGCCCTGGGAACTACACTCCGCATCGCAACATCAGGCTGCCATGGCTTTGAACTGTGTCTGTGAACACTGTATGTTAATGCTATTTCAGATTTTACATGTTACTGGGGATGATTTAGCAAGTTATTTTTTGAGCCTGAGAATGCTCAAAAATGTTCCCCATATCTCACTCACTGCCAATGAGTTGACCGTATAAGACACTGAAGAACTGCCCCTTTGGGTTTCTGAAGTTATAAATCTTTACAGGAGAAAAAAGCCTCACCTTTTTCCCACTGAGTGGGTGGGTGGGTTTGAACTGCTGATTTTGTGGTTAGCAGCCCAATGCTTATTAACCTTCTCCATCAGCAGAGTTCCTGTTTCCCATATAGATTCATGGTAGCTACGTCTTTGTTTTATGCGATTTTGGCTTACAATAGGTTTCATAGGCATGCTCTACTTTTTGATAGCAAGGGAAGCCTGTATCTGATCGATGAAGATCAATAGCTTCATATGAATAATCTTATAATAGTAATAAAGACCTATGGTTTAAGAATACAGCAAATGATGAGAACAAGCCTATTAAAGAGCTCTTGGAACACATTTGTTATTTACAGAAACTAAGTCAAAAAGGGTATAGTATTTCTTCAATGACCTCAAAGATGATTCTATTGTTTACACAGAATCCAAATGGGAAAACCCAAAGTGGGGCAAAGAGTGGGGAGGTTAAATAACGATCACTATCAAAAGTCTGAGCTAAAAGCGGGACAGAGTCCAAAGAACAGTGTTAATCAACTCTTGTCATAATCGCTCGTCCCACAGAAAAGCCCTTTAGCAGCCATATTTGAACTCCTTGGGGACCCACTTCTGTGGTCACAGTGGATGGGAGCAGGAGTGCTCACCTACCTAAACAAGCCTACCAGGTTTACTCTTCTGGAATATGGAATTAGGAGTAAAATAGGGCTCCCAAGCATGTGGCCACAACTGAAAACCAAAGTTTAAACCAAATCCATTGCCGTTGGTCCTATTCCGACTCATAGAAACTCGATAGGATAGAGTAGAACTGTCTGCGTTTCTGAGGCTGTAAATCTTTATAGAAACAGATTGGCACGGCTTTTTCCCATTGAGCTGCTGGTGGATTTGAACGGTTGGTCTCTTGGTTAGCAACTCAACCTTTAACCTACCGTACCACCAGGGCTCCTTGCGTGGAACTGAAAACAACAACAACAACAACAACAAAACCTCACTGCCATCTAGTCGATTCTGACTCATCTTGACCCTACATGGCAAGGAAGAACTATCCCTGTGGGTCTCCAAGACTGTAACTCTTCATGGGAATAAAAAGCCTCATCTTTTGACCAAGGAGCGGCTGGTAGATTCTAACTGCTGACTTTGCACTTAAGTGTCTAACACATAACCCACTCCGCCACCAGGGCTCCTAAATCATAAGGACATGTAAATTGAGGCGCTATAGGATAGTGAGATCTTCTGGCACTTGAACAAAAACACAAAAATTATAGTTATTTTGAATCTGTCTTTTATTGTGAGAAAACCAACTTTAATCAAATTTCCTACTGACCATCATCTGTTTAAGCTTTACTTATGAAGTCATCGATTAAATCATTAAATTCTATGCATAAATCTTGACTGAAGAAATCATCAATTAGATTCAAAAAGCTTCTTTTTAAAGTTTATTGAGCGAGTTGAATCTTTGAGAAATGTTTTCATGACTCAAACAAAAAGGTTGACAATATCAAGTGTTGGAGAAGATGAAAAGCAGCTTGAACTTCCATGCATGGCCACTGACAGTGTAAAATGGTGCAGTGAGTTTGAAAAATTATTTTATCAGTTTGATTCAAGTTATAAATGCACTTTCCATGTATACCAGCAAATCCAATCCCGAGGTCTTTCCCCCAAGAGAAATGAACACACAGGGCCCTAAAAAGATTTTTCATGACAGTTATGAAGTAGCAACGAAAATAATTTTATGGTTGGGGGGGTCACCACAACATGAGGAACTGTATGGGTCGCGGCATTAGGAAGGTTGAGAACCACTGATCAGTACTAAGTTTTTTACAGGTGGAACTTAACTATGACAACAGAAGCCAGACTAATGGTTGACTGGGGCGGGGGAGCTGACTGTAAAAGGGACATACCAGAAACTACGGGATGAAGCTAATGCTGTGCTTGAAGGGAAATTTACTCCTGCAAATGTGTTTATTTAAAAAAAAAAAAGCTCGCGCATCATCACATCAATAACCTAACCTTCTAGTTGAGGAAACTTAAAAAAGAGCAACGTAAACCGCAGAAGGAAAAAAAGAGCAGAAATAGAAACTAGAACGCTAACTAGGCTCCCAGTACAGCCATTCAACAGTGTCCTGACGATTTTAGCAAAGGCAATTAAGCAAGAAAAAGAAAAGATACAGGAAGTGCCAGGTTACAAACTCGATCTGTTCCTAAGTGTGTCTTTAAGGAATTTGTAGAGGAGTCAGAACAGGGGCACACAGATCTTATTTAACTCTACTTCAGGTCAAGAGAGTTAAGTGTCAGAATGGTAACTACAAGGTCCGGGGTTCAAATCCATTAGCCATTCCTTGGGAACAGATGAGGCTGTCTGTTTCCATAAAGATTTACAATCTAGGTAATCCTAAGGAGTTCTACTCTGTCCTATAGGGCTGCAATGTATCAGAATAAACACGACAGCAAGAAAAGTACTCAAGCCTTCCCAATGATTATAACTGTGTCTTCAGCAATTGAAGGGAATTGTGATGAAGAATTTGTTGCATATGGGTTGAGTCAATCGTTTCAAAGTGAGGGCAAATTTATATAGCAAAGAACAAGTTGGACATCCGCAAGGGGACTGCCCGTATCTAGATGGTAAATAAGGAAGTAAAACTACCTTCACTTGTAGTATACAAAATCCTATAGAGAAAAATTAAAATCCATATACTATTAGAATTAATAACGTCAGCAAGTTTGCAGATACAAGATCAATATCAGTTATATTTCTATACACTAGCAATGAGCAATCCAAAACTGAAATTTAGAAAATAATTCCGAAACTAGCTAAGGAATTCAATTTTAAAATGACAAGGCACATACACAAATAACTATAAAACATAGTTAAAAGGGAAAAAGACCTAAATAAAAAGGCCACATTCAAGGATGTATAAACTTGGTATTGTTACAATGCCAGGATTTTCCAAAGTTGATATATACAGGGGTGGGGGGGGTACCCAACAACACCAACAAAAACTGATTTTTTTTCAAAGCTGTGTATTTAGAATTTTTTAGAAAATAACCTTAGCACCTTCAACATACTCTCCGTTACACGTAATGCATTTGTCAAATCTGTGATTTCATTCTTGGAAACATTTTTCAAACTAATCTGTTTGGATGGCTGACAGCACCGCTCTCATTTTTTTTCTTTACCTCTTCTAGGTCATTAAATCGCTGTACTTTCATGTCCCGCTTCATTCGTGAAAACAAAAAGAAGTTGCACAGAGTAGGCAAGTAAGGAAAGAGAGGCATACTGGTTTTTGGCAAAAACTCGAGGACTGAGAGGGCTGTGTGAGCAGGTGCATTGTCGTGGTGGCAAAACCAGTCTGTCTGCCACACATCAGTCCTTTTTTGACCCACATTGTTACAAAATCTTTTCAGAACCTCTAAATAGAAAGCTTGATTAACAGTCTGACCTGATGGAACAAACTCCAAATGTACTATCCCCCCTATATCAAAAATACAAATGAGCATCATCTTAAT